GTCTATTTAAAACCAATGGAAGAGATTTAATACATTATACATTATCATTATTCTTTCTAACTAAATTTAAAGAAAAAATCAATACAAATTGCCTCTTTTATTTTTTTCTCATTAAACCTACCGATTTCAAAAAATAAAAAATAACAAAAAAATCTATCGATATAATACTTAATACATCTCTAGGAGAGTTTCAATCCCGACTCCGAAAGTCGGTCCATATCACACGAGATTTCCATCCGTATTGCAACGGAAAAATTAACATTAGTACCCCTATTTATTACGCGCATTATTCCTCCATCTCTTTCCCACAAATACAACCGATCCATCGACACGACAGAGACGGAGAGGTAGCGTTCAGCTGCCGCATTGCCACGCTTCACGCTGATTACGATCGAAATTCGGGTTCCTTTAGAAACTTGATTAGCACGCATGTCAAAAGGCCACCCTGCACGCAGGCCACCCCATGAAAAATGCGCGAAACTCGCACAATGAGCGCCGCGCGGTGTTTGATGGAAGTCGGCAGCCAATTGTTTACAGAGACCCGCCGAACAAAAGAGTGCAGCAAGACGCCATAACGCTACCAGCTAAGTTCGGTAATTTGCTGTAGATTAATTTGGAATTTTGGGGTCTATTCCATCATTAGGTCGTTTTTTATTGGTGTAAATGAGTCTCTTAGCTGCCAAGTGGTGTTAGTGCAAAATTGACATTATGAGAAAAAAACGTTTTTGTTGTCTTGTTCATAGTTAATTCTAGATAAATACTTTGTATAAAAAGATTACGGAAGGAGCATATCAAAAATCTTGCGATGGGGACCTAAAATGGCCGACCTAAATTCCGGTTTATCAGTGCCGTTCTAATTTTATTCAAACCATCTACCTATTAAAACCTATATTACCTATATTATTTTTTATTATTTACCTATTAGTTTGGGCTTTTTGGTTTTAATTTATTAAGTAATTATCAGATAGTAATTGTTAATTTTGAAGTTTAACTTAATATAATGTCATTTTAACAGAACGTCAACGATTTCTTGTAGACGTATCTGTTTTAAAAAGTAAAGTGTTCTCGAATAGTTCAATTTAAATATTTTAAATAGTTTTTTTCTTGATTCTTTATATTTTTTTGCTTCCGACGACGGAAAGAGAAAACTTTCCGAAACGTTAAGAATTTTTTTCTTTGTTAGGGAAATTTTTATTACTGTAAACACAACTTCTGACAAGCAGCGTCCGTTTAGGTTTAACGCAGAAGTGTTTACAAAAAATAACTATTTTATTTTGTAGATTTTCTTGCAGTGCAGTGGCGAAAAACCCATAAGGATTTTTTTGGATAGATAAATCCGCCACATAGGTATAGACATTTTTTATAAATATAATGTATTACAGTAGACTCAATAATTTATTGTTTTATTTTACGTTGTCAATAAATGTTAGTAGTTATTAAAATATCATAAAAATATATATTTCTAATAAAAATAGATAAATTATAATAATTATTATTGAATAACTCAAACATCAGATACGCTATTGAAGTACGTAAGTCAAATTCACGTATCTAAATTATTTTTGACAAGTACTCAATAAAAGCGATAATGCAAGAAAAAATATATAATAATTAGTTAATTCAAATTGAATTTCATAAATAATGGTCGGTTTACTACACGTATGTATATTATACAGGGTGGATCTTAAATAAGTGCAGATATTTTTAGCGGTAGTGTATTTCAACCCCAGAAACACGTCTATGAGGTTTTTTGCGAAGAAAATAATATTTTAAAAATTTGGAATTTTTTGAAATGTTAAAATTATCAATATCTTGATAATATGGCAACTTAGCTAGTAGATAAAATTTACAAGAAAGAAACCCTAGAAAATATCCAGTAGTTCTCAAAATTTAAGCAAAAAATATTTTTTTTTAATTTTCAAAATAATAACTCGGTTATTTTGGACTTTTGAAAAACGGTAAAGGGAAAATATTGTTCTTTTATCAAGATCAACAAGCCATCTCAAAGTCGTTCAAAACCTCAAAATATCTTGATATTTTTCCGTTTTCTGGATTTCCAAATATTCTAGGATTCGATTGAAATGAGAGATGAAAATAATTTCCTATTTGAGCTATTGAGTTAAAGTTTTTTAATGTTACTTAATTAAAATAAAACAAGCTGGAGAAGAAAACTTGACACAATGCTTTATTATATTTTAAATTGTATAATTGCTAACTAAAGTAACTCAAAATACAAGTGTGGTCATTTTTAAGAATGCTTGATTATACTTTTTTGGATTTGAAGCATTTTACCTCTGAAAATATATATTTGAAATTTTAGATATAAACTAGCGTGTATCAGCGACTTCGTTCGCGTCGAATTAAGGTTGTCGCCCACTAGACTGCGGCGCGACGCGGCGCGGCGCCATGTGGAAATTTCTTTTGTCTGCTTGCCATGTATTTAAATGGACCAACGCACATTAGAGCGCGCAGCGCAGAAGCGCGCCGCGGGGTTTCCGTCGACAAGTCGAAAGACTTCTCTAGCAACTTTTTTCCGTCTCCCGCGTTTCGGCGCGTTGCAGTGTGCGTACTCACAAGGGAAATAATTTTGCATTCGAGTCTTTTCAGTTGGCTTTTTGACTAGAAACTAGTGATATGTATCAATGGCAGAATTGTATTTTTAAAGGTAAATGAGGCAAATCGATTTTCATAAAAGAATATGATATTTTTTTTAGTCTTCCCTCACTAGAGACAGATGGACGAAATGCCTTTCTATCAAAGATTTAATATAATTGAGGGGTGTAGAGGCAAAACTGGCAATCTCCACTTTTTAACAAAAGTGACAATCTCCAATTTTTACATTCTAATTACCTAAATATATAAAAAAGATCAGGGTTTTTTTGACCACATAACTAATATACACATCAGAATAAATAAGAATTATCAAAAATATTAGTAATTTGTCTCTTCTGAAAAAATATGATGAGTAGATATACCCGGTGTTTTTTCTTCTAAAACCCTCAATTGAGGAGTGCGTAAAATGTTTCCTTTATATTTTGTAATACTGAAAAAAATGATTTTGTCTTTTATTAAATCTGGAAAAAGATGGTAAAATTCTCCAAACTTCTTTCTTTTTTGGTTAATCGTATGAGTCCAAACTTTTCCTCATCCCCTCTTCCTCTTCCTCTGTTAGAAGAGCACAAAAAATACACTTTCGTTAGTACTTGAACTCATTGCTTTAAAAACTAAACTACAGTAAGTAAAAAACACTTCGACTATAACTAAATAGCGTTGCCGCGTTTCAAAAGCGCGCTATAGTGGGCGCAGTCCCTTCGCAGCCGGAAAAAATTCTCTTCGCCAGCGCCGCGCAGCGGTCTAGTGGGCGACAACCTTTAATCATTTGTAATGGTGATGATAAAGCAAAGCAAGAATTTCCATTAACATACAAACTGGATAAAATTTTCTCACATTTATGTCAGCATGAGAAAAAACAATATGGCGATATTATTATATAACTTGGTAATATTTGAGGGGTAGTTTCATCTCGTTGGAATTTGACTTTCGAAGAATCCGTTTGCCAAAAATAAGCTTTTTACGTCAAGCAGTTTAAGCAGAATCGTGGTTAAGAAATTACCCAACTTTTTGGAACACCCTGTATGATTTTTTAAAAAATTTCAAAATTGTTAAAAACCAAATAAATTATGCTTGTCCAAGCGTTTTCCCGAAAGACGAACCGTTTTTTAAATAACAAATATTGTAATATTTGAGGGGCGTTTTCACCCTCTTGGAATTTGAGATTCGAGGAATCCCTCCTTATCGAACCTCTACACCCCACAGTCAATCCGTTTGCCAAAAATCAGCTTAAACGTCAAGCAGTTTAAGCAGAATCGTGATTACTCAATGGTCATATTTTATGAAACACCCTGTATAAATTTATAAAAAATCTTAAAATATGTAAAACAACAAAATAAAATATACGTGTTTAAGAGTTTTTCCGAACTCACCGGTTTTTAAATAAAAAATATTTTAATATTTGAGGGATAGTTTCACCCCCTTAGAATTCGAGTTTCGAAAAATCCCTTCTTATCGAACCCCTAAAGTCAATCTGTTTTCCAAAAATCAGCTTTTTTACGTCAAGCGCTTTAAGCAGGATCGTGATTAATCAATGACCAGATTTTTCGAAACACCCTGTATACATTTTTAAAAAATCTTAAAATATGTAAAAAAACAAAATAAAGATACATGTTTAAGTGTTTTTTGGAAACCTGACCGTTTTTTTTGAGCAGGATCGTGATTAATCAGTATGTCAGTCACTTAAGGATTTTATATATTAGTATAGATTGGTTCATCGGTACATTCTTCTTCGTCATTAAGGGATTTGTTGACTTCACATTGTGTATTAATAGAGCTTTCTTCGATTTTTATAAAAATGAAGAACTTTCATGTGTTGCTTTTTAATTTTAGAGTGTGTTAAGTTAAGTCTATATGTAATGATAAGATTCCTTGTGCAGTTTTATTCAGCCTAACCTATTGATGTAGTAATAACACAGATGACATATAATCTATATGTTATCTGTGGTAATAGTGAAAATAATGATAATCAAACTACAGGTACTTTCAGAATCGATAGAATCAGACGTGCAAATGGTTCAGACATGGTTCAGACTTTGTTTCACTGTCATCCATTTTATCAACAAAAAAATGTTTAGTTCTAAACTTTAGCACGTGTTTTGAAATCGCGCACATTAGCAGTATTAAATTTTATGGATCCATTTCACTTCTGAAAGGAATCAACAGAATATTCAGAAACCAAACAGAAACAGACTATAGCTGCTTAATGCGTGAAGTATGATTGGATTCAATTCTCTACTGAAAAAAAAACATATTTTAGAAACGTATAAAGCCGATTATCTTAAAATAGTAGGAAATTGGACTTGATCCATTTTAATTCTGACCACTCTATTTATCATTATCACTTACTTTTTCTACTACAAGTAATAACTTTCCAATTCGACGTTTTCGATTCGGGACACCATCGTCAACTCTCTTAGTTTAAATTCGAACGTGGATTTTATTTCACTATCAGATTAAGCAGCCTTATCTGCAAAAGAGCCAAAGAGCCATATCTGCAAAATAAATTTGTAATATAAAAGCCATAACACACCCACAGCAAAACATAGATACACCAAATCTCATTGAAATTAAAATATCTTAAGAAAATCTCTTTTTTTTTAATTTAATGTCTTCCAATGGACAAAGATAATTTTGCATAGAGATAAATTGGATAGTGTTAACGTATAAAGATCCAAGCACCAATTTGTAATTCGGAGATATTGAAATAAATTATTATATTGGCCAAAAAAGATTATAAATCAGTATACAGACTTTTTCTTAAAAGTTGCATTTATAGAGATAAATTATGTTCAATTAAGTCATCTTCATTTTTATTCCAAAACTACGTAGTAATTCTATGTCCACGAAACATTGAGGCACCTTGTGTTTACTGAAATAATAATTCAATTTCAACACAGAAAGTATTAATAATTTCACACAGAAAATAACGAAAATACAGTTCTCCAAATTCTAGGACCTGTATAGGTGCTATACAATTATTTACAGTAAACGGTGAGCTTGAAAAATTATCACAGTACTTCAGAGCAATTTTAACAATAATTACACCTAAAATTTCTCTAACCATAAATTTTAAATAACACGTTTATTGCCGTACTACTTTTTTTCCAAAACATTGACATATCGATAGTTATCAACTGCATCGAATCGTCGAACAGTTCAAACTCAGTTTGGCTTCTGTAAAATACGGGTTTATTGCCGACGGTGGCTTGCCAACAAAATAACAATTTCGACTATAAAACGATAATAATTCCAGAACACTTATATTTTAACAAACCGTTACACTCCCATTCAATAGGCTCCAATTTTAGACTGTTCTGGCTTCACGGTTTGATTTTCAGTTCTTCCCGGGTTTTACGATTCCCGGATTTTCAGATTTACAGCCCTGCTACCTTGTTAGAACGTTTCTTCTTGCTCAATGGAACCATAAACTCGACTAATTTTAGGCTTCTCGGTATTGTGTGCTAGGCGACGATATCCATATACCTACAATATGAAGTTTGTCAATGGAGTTCAATACAGATGCATTTGCTTGAGCGAATAATTAGCAGTTTATGTCAGCTAATTCAAACTTCTTAATCAAAATATTTATTTAAGTACTTATTTATTTATTTCTCTTTACAGATTAGTAGTAAACCCCAAAATGTTCAAAGTGACTTCCACGCTTAATTTCAACGTTAACAACTTAAAAATGATTTAGAATTATAAAAAAACCTCTTCTAAAAACACACGGGTTTTAGTAGCTCGACCAAACTTTATAATAATGATTTTCATTTAAATTTTATGTAGTATAAGCTAGGAGATCTATACACATTGAAATAAAACCTACAACGTGATACCTATTTTTTCTAGTACCATTTTAGACGCCAAATGCAGCAATGTTTTCTACAATTTATTATTTTGGGAATAATTACATTTTTCCGTGTAGTGTCATCTCAATATCGACATTAATTTACTCTATGAATTTACTTAATCTACGACAATGTCATTATGACACATTTAACATTGTCATTTGGAGATCATTATGGCTTTCAAAATAGCACTATTGCTATTATGAATTCATAATAACACGCAAATTTTAAAATAAGAAACAAGCAAAAAAAGGTACCTAAATACGTTTATTTATTGTAAACATTAATTATAATATCAGTACAATTGGTTAAATTAATTCCAGATGATGACAGGTGAGTTGATTTTTTAGAAAGTTAATTTATTTCCTGAGTGCTTGAACCTATTCAAGACCCATCATTGCCAGAAATGTTACACAAAATATTACACGACACTGGAATTTTCTATATAGCTCTCTGCACTGTGTTAGAGCGCCGACCACCATGTCTTTTTACAGTTAATAAATCCACTCCTGCAAGCAACGACGCAGAGGATCTACGGAAACAATGTCCAGTGTATTGTTGTGGATTTGGAAGACTTAGGAACAATGCTATTTTATACGGCATTTTCTCTAAAGTATTAATGCCAACGGGTTGCTTAAAACATTTTCCATTTCTGTACCCCACAAAAAATCGAGTAAGCTCTGTGTTGCTTGGCCGCATAGCTATATATCTTCGAACCATTTCCACCATATTTATTCCTTCAACATTCCCTTTCGTTATAAAAAAAATCTCGTGATATTTTTGTTTCGTAAATGGAGTAATGACACGAATGCATTGTCCTTCATCTTTATTATTTTGGAGCTGCAGACTTGTCAACTCGATACGCCGGCAGGCTCCCGCAAGTCCCACTATCAATGAAACTTTTGTCAGGAAATAAGTTTTATCATCGGCTTCCAACAAAAAACGAGTTATGTCTTCTTTTCTTCAAATTCTCGATTTTTTTGTTTTTTTAGAAATGCAATTAAATGGACGTAGGTACTTACTAATATCTGTATTTTTCTTCACTGGTATAACTGAACGTAGCATGGAATAATATACCCAAAGTGATGAAGCCTTCCTATGTTTTAAAAGATGTTCAAAATATGCCAGGAGAACCTTTTCGTTACTACTATTCTTGATTCCTTCCCTTTACACCAATCTTCAAGTTTTTCGTAGGCTTGCTCGTACGTTTGTCTTGATTTTTCGGGAAGTAGGGAATCGACAACGTTTTGCGCAATGCCGTCAATATCCGAAAGGACACTTTCAGAATCAGAATCACCCATATTAATATTATTTTTTGCTTTTTGCTAAAACTGAACGTTTAACACAAAATTGAACATCAATAATTGAGCTGTCAAAGTCAAAATGGAAACAATCAACAAGCACGGTTACCACGGCCGCGGCGTCGACTTATACTGGGCACCTGATAATTTTGAATTTTAATTTTTATGAGGATATCTCTGATATTTTAAATTAAATCAAATCTCTTTGGATCGTTCGTCGTGTCGCGTCGTAGATTAAATTTTGAATGATACACGTTCGATACGAACTTTTTAATAAAACTTGTGTAACTAAGCCACTCGGCTAACGCTCCGGCTTAACGTTACACGCGTTTTATTATGATGTTCGAATCGAACTTTGAATCTAATGCTTTCAACAATGTCGTACAGTGAAAAAACACATTCTTTGAAAGTCGAGACGCCTGATCTGGACCATTTTCAAGGAATGACTTAATAGTAGTTCGTCGCGGTTGGAGACTGGCGGAAAAAAGAGAAGAATAGGACAATAAAGCAATTTAAAAATTCGGTAGCAAAATTAGACATAATTTGACACTAATAGTGTCTGCAAACCCGCTCGCTGACGTTAATGAGTTTATATGCCCTATAAATCTTCTCGAATAAAGCGGACCGTCCGCTGAGGTTCTCGAAAATTGGACTTTCGCTTATTTTTGCCGGACGAGACATCGACGGGCTTTTTGTTGACAGGTGGACAATGGTCAGTGGGGTTCAACATCGTAAAATAAAGAAGCTAGGAGCAGATTTTAGGCGTTGTAGAGCATCGGTTGTAAGATTTGCCTCGTAATCTAACAAAAACGGAACGATATACTTAAACGTTTATACTGTGTCTGTACAATTTAATATTACATATTAATGAGTAAAACTCCGAGAGTTACAAATAACTGCCAGTATGCACTATGGATAATAATTATATTCGACATAAATCAAACTTTTAGTTGCGTAATCGAGGGCGCGATTTTTAAATTCATTGTTGCCAATCATGGACATATTGGCGTTGGGCTTACTAACTGGAATTTATGTCATTCGTTTTGACACTTTTGTATTACGAGCTTTTGGTTTAAATAAACTTGTGATACTTTAAGCTTAAAATTTTTTACTAGCAGACCATGCAGTCGAACATTGTTCTTTTTAATACCTCTTTTAGCGCGAAGTGTACAAGATAGCTTAATAGCCGTAAAAAACTCTCAACTTTTATTAGAATATTTTGAACGGAAAAGCGGTAGTAATGGCCCTATATGTCCCTTAACTGCTGTTAAAAAGGTGAGTTTTGTTGATATAAATAATTACTGTTTATATATTTATAATTAATTTATTTTTGTTTTCTAAAATATTTTGATTAAAAGAAAATATATAAAAGTGGGCAACGCTGTGCCGGTCAAGGTTAATCACGTGACCAAAAGTTTATTTGATATGAACTATATATTGTTTTATTAGTAGTAAAAATTATATTTTTTGTGGCGCGGCTGTATGTTTGATATTACACGGGAAGCACAAAAAGTCATTTTTACTCCGAATAGAACATGCTTTTTTTCCAAACGTCACAAATAATTTTTTATACAATTTTAAATGTTCCAAATAATATAAAAAGTCTTAAAAGTACCTACATACCTTGTAAGAATTACATATTGAGAAACTATGGTAACTGGCTAGTTTTCAAACTAGCCAGCTATTTTGCAAAGAAACAGCACAACCACAACTACAGTACGTCTAACCGTTCTGTAGCTACCGGACATCCGTAAGGGAGGAAACGATATTCTCTCGATGTTTCTCGTAAAAAATTAGACGACCCGTCCCATCAATAAAATTTCGACAAATTTGCATAGTAGCCAATGAAATGACTTGGCGGAGTGTGCTGCTGTTTATTAAAATGTTTTTGTCCGCATTCTTTTCATAGACACAGATCCAGCAGCAGGGCCTATTTTTCATCTGGTCGGGCCCTAAGGCCCAAGCAAAAATTCGGGCCCTCTTTTCCAATAAAATTCAAAAATTCTCTTGTTAGTTTGGGTTAAAAAAAAATAAAACAATTATTTTTATTCTTTTAATAATTAAAAAAAATAAATAAACATTATTATATTGAACAAAATAAATAATGAAAAAAAAAAATTATATCAATCTAAAGCTTATTTTATTTAATTCTATTTTCCCTATCAGAGGTAACTGTTTTTTTCTCTGCTATGTAAATTTACATTTGAAATTATGAACATTTTACTACCTTTAACGGGCCACCAGACCACCGGGTCCAAGGCCCGGGCCTTATAGGCCTTATGGTAAAATAGGCCCTGTCCAGTAGACGTACTTTAGAAACTAACACCTAATCCACAAAATAACAGCGCTTTTTGCAAAATAGCTGGCTAGTTTGAAAACTAGCCAAGTATCCATTTTAGCCGTAGGATATAAAGTACGTCAACTGAATCTGTGTCTATGAAAGGAATGCGGACAAAAAACAGTTAAATAAACAGCAATATATCTTATACGTGGACTTGACGAGTATGTCACCGCAAATCGCTCCGCCCGGCTCCCACTCATTTTATTGGCTACTTACAAATTTGTTGAATTTTTATTGATAGGACGCGTCGTCTATTTTTTTACGAAAAACATTGAGAGAATATCGTTTCCCCTCTCACGGATACCCCGTAGCTACAGAACGGATAGACATACTGTACATTATATTGGCGCATACTATATGACTTGAAGTTTGGTCCTTCCAGTCCTTCACCTTACATATTCTAAAGATGCATAATTTCCTTATCAATCCATTGAGTTATCTGTGGAAAAGTGCATATGCTTTAAACAGGCTTGAAGCCTTATTGAACTTTTGTTTTATACAGTGCAACATGTTTTTTCGTTGCTAAATGATGGTCCACTAAACAATTCAAATAAAACTTATAGCCTGTTTTTGAAGAACTATACTTTCTAACACTTATAATTATGATTATACTTATGATTTTTCTACCAAATATCTATATTTCTACCAATATATCTCGAAATACCGTTCTGCTTCTCAAGCGGAAACCAACTTAAAGTAGAACTCGAGAACTTAAAAGATTCCATCCGTAACCTGGAATGGGAATCATCCATCAGTTTAAGACACTAGAAAAAAATGCTCCATATATTTTGTGCGTAAATACGTCCTTCCTAAAGGATAGTGACACGGTATTGGTAACCGCCAACCAGCTGGAACTGAGGACAATTCTAACAAGATTGGAAACTACCAGTAGAGAGTTCGGCCTTCGCATCAATTACAGAAAGACTAAGGTGATGATCGTAGATCGCGAAAACAACAACTGCCCAGACATCACAAACATAGATCGCTGCGAAGTTGTGCAACAATTTATTTATTTAGGTGCACTTATATCTAATACCGGTAGTTGCGAAATGGAAATACGCCGCAGAATTCAACTGGGCCGTAACGCTATGACGCAGCTCACGAAAGTTTGGTTGAATAGTCACATAACACAATCGACAAAAATCAATCTTGTAAATAGTCTTGTCTTTCCGGTTATGCTTTATGCTTGTGAGACATGGACATTGTTGGCAGCCGACAGACGACGTATTGACGCCTTCGAGATGTGGTGCTGGAGGAGGATGTTGCGAATACCATGGACAGCATATCGCACCAATGTGTCGGTCCTTAATGCAATCCAATTACCACAAAGACTTTCTAGCACTGTCTATAAACGCATCCTTTCCTTCTTCGGTCACGTCAACAGGAGCGGGCATATGGAGAGACTTGTAGTGCAGGGAAGACCTGCAGGATTCCGTCGCCGAGGAAGATCGCC